TTAACTTGTGTGATTCTGAAAATCTCTTGTTGCAAACGTGACATTCAGAAGTTTTGTCTCTGGTATTTGTTTTTTTTTATGAGTAGCTACAGTAAGTGGCTTGATTGTGAAAATCTCTTCCTACAAATACTGCATTCATAAGGTTTGTCTCCAGTGTGTGTTGTTTTATGCTTGGTTAAGTTGGCCGAGAATGAAAATCTCGTCTTGCAAACATCACATTCATAAGGTTTGTGTCCAGTGTGTTCTTTCATGTATAACTAAGGTGCATGCTTGACTGTGAAAATCGTTTGCTGCAAACATCACATTCACAAGGTTTGTCTCCAGTGTGTGTTGTCTTATGTACAGTTAACATACCTGACTGTGAAAATCTTTTATTGCAAAGATCACATTCATAAGGCTTGTCTCCAGTGTGTGCTCTCTTGTGGGCAGCTAAGTTGCCTGAATTCAAAAATCTTTGTTGCAAACATCACACTCATAAGGTTTCTCTCCAGTATGTCTTCTCTTATGAACGGTTAAATTGTTTGAGTGTGAAAATCTTATTTTACAAACATTGCATTCATAAGGTTTTTCCTCACTGTGTGTTCTTTTATGTCTCACCAAATTTCCTTTCGTAGAAAATACCTTGTTACAAACCTCGCATTTCCTAGACATGGTTTCAGCATTTGATCTTTTCCCCGTACGGTCAAATATCGATAAAAATATCAGCCAACTGTTCCCTCGAGTCGTGCTTTATTGAATCTTTATAATACTTTGGTTCTTACAGAATTTCTGATCATAAAAATGAGAATATTCAGAGACACACAGTTTGCAAACAACACGAGTATCAAAATATGGTGCCCAGAAAGAATGGCATGTACTAAAACCGGAACGAAACCACCGGAACGACCGGAATGAAACCACCGGAAGAACCGGAACGTCCGGAACAAGAATCGGAAATGACCGGAACCATCGAAACCAAAATCGAACACGACTGGGACGAATCGGAATTCCAACGCCTTGACCACCCCTCCCTTATTGCTAAGCACTTGTTACCATGCACGTGACTTGTATTTCCCACGCGATTTTACGAATTTACATTATCGTAATGGCGAGCGTGGAAGACACACTGATCTGTACTAAGACTGGATAACGTATCTATAGCATACAAAAATGAAGCCGGAAGTCACCGGCCGCCACCCGATTCAAGGGTCCCACTTTTGTATAGATTTGTATTACAGATGGTAGTTTTTCGCGTTTTTCGCCTTGGCTACGTTTCTGACCGGGCCAGTTTTACAATCACAAAGATAGAATTGCAGTTGATTTACTTGATAATGAGATTATGCCCTTCCGTAGCCTCCTCCACAGCCATCTTGTGTGTAATTCATATTGTTCTTCACCGAGTATTTCATAATAGCGATAGATTTCATGCAAGCAATCCGATAAAATGCTAGCCATTCCAAGCCTTGCGACTATTTCCTAGCACTCTCCTCCGCAGAGGCGTTGTGTTTTGTTTTGGGAGGTTTTATTGCATATTTTTTTTCTTAAAAATATGAAGTTATATTAAAACCCCGACCCCCAATCGCCACAAAACCATTCTCTCAGAAAGGCTAAATCCGTAGAGAAATTGATGGAAGGGGTATACGTCCCCATGCTCGAAGCTAAAACTGATTAAGTACGTCTCGACTGAGGAAAAAAGACGATATACTGGAGGAACTTGATTTGTGAGAATCTCGTTAAAGCAGTTGTAGATATGGTTCCAAGAAAGAATAAATTTAGTTTAGATTTTTAACTGTTAAATACATGTATGCATCATGTAGCATGTGAATATTTCTTCTCAGTCTTATTCTGTATCGCATGAAAAAGCAACACCTGATCAAAATCACATTGGAATCCCTCCCAGCATCACAGAGAGGAAATAAGGTGACACTGACCCCTCCTCCTATTTTTCAAGGTGACTTTTCCAATTTATTTATTTCCGAGTAGAAATGTCTGGAAAATTCATGTCTTCGATGTACTTTATAATCTTCGGAATTCTGCTAGATTTCACCCCCAAAATGCATGAAATCGCAATTCAGGGACCCTAGATTTCAAAGTTTTTCGGACCCCGGACCTTCCTAGTCTGTCGCTCCCCACACCAGTTAAGTAAATCCTAGTCTGTCGCTCCCCACAACGGTTAAGTAAATTTAGCATTGATAGAAACATAATTCACCCATCCCAAATCGGATTTAAGTCGGGCCACAGAACAGCTGATCACATTTTCACTCTTAAAACAATAATAGACAAACACATAAATGAGAACAAAAAGGAAAAACTCTATGCATGCTTTGTTGATTTTAGAAAGGCTTTTGACTCTGTTTGGCATGAAGGCCTTTTTTTAAAACTGCTTGAAAACAAAATTGATGGTAACTTCTACAACCTTGTTAAAAGTTTATATTCAAACTCTAAATGCGCCGTAAAAGAAAGCAAAACTAATCGAACTGAATTTTTCTCATACTCCACAGGAGTGCGTCAAGGCTGTGTTCTGAGCCCTCTTCTATTTAATATCTATATAAACGAATTGGCAACATTATTTGACACTACAGATCTGATCCGTTTATACCACCAAATGGAACTAAACTGAGTTGTCTTCTATATGCCGATGACTTCATTTTATTATCTCGATCAAAATTCGGCCTACAAAAATCTCTAGACGATCTCCATAGTTGGAGTAAAAAATGGCTCATGGAGATAAATTTGAAGAAAACACAAATAATGATTATTGAAAAACGAAAAACAAGAAAGGCAAGCCCAAAGTTTAATGTTGGAAATCGGAACATAGCAATTGTACAGGAATACTGTTACCTAGGAGTCAAACTAAATCACAATGGCAATTTCACTTTAGCTCTAAAGCAACTAAGTGAGAAAGCCTTGCATGCTTTATATGGTATAAGAAGACAGCTCAACTTCAGCCGCCTCAATCCCAAATATGCCATTAAAATATTTGATTCTATTATAAGCCCGATCCTACTATACAACTCTGAAGTATGGGGGACATACGTGAAAAACGATTTCAACAATTGGGACAAGTTACCAATTGAAAAAGTCCATCTTAAGTTCTGTAAAATATACCTCGCTGTCAGTAGGAAAGCAAGTAACATTGCTTCCAGAGCTGAGCTTGGAAAACTCCCTCTTATTATCAATGTATTCAAAAGGGTCTTCAAATACATCACTCACTTAAACTCACTTCCCGAAACAGCCATTGCAAAGCAAGCATTTCGAATCTCGAAAGATCTCTACTCTAGGCAGAAAACTTCCTTTTACGGAAATGCAATGGATACAATCAAAAATTTAAACCTAAATGAAGAAATCCCTAATCTGGAAGCCGTAACGTCTGAACATATTGAAGCTATTACCAAAACCCTTGAGGAAAAATACTTGACATTCTGGAAACATAAACTTGAAAATTCATCCAAATTAACTTTCTATTCAACATTCAAAACGGACCACAACCTCGAAAAATACTTAATACTTATAAAAGACCCATACTAGAGAAAATGTCTTTCACGTTTTAGAGTTAGCAGCCATAACCTCCAAATTGAGATCGGGCGATACCAAAATACACCCCGAGAAGAACGCTTATGTGAAATCTGTAATTCAGGAGAGGTGGAAAACGAAACCCATTTCCTACTCTTTTGCAAAGCCTATGAGCATTCTCGTGAAGACCTCCGAAGTTCTGTAGAGAATGCAGGCATCTGATACTTTTTCAATAACTCCATCACTTTCTAACGTGTCGAGCGCATCTGAGACCTTTTGCCGCATGTGGAAAGGAATACGACGAGGGGTTTGTGCTACTGGAGGGACAGTATCATCAATGTGCAATTTAACTTCAAAATTTTTAATAGTGCCAATTCCGTTGAACAGATGGGCATACTCTTTCATCAGTTGTTCATGGGTGGCATGTTCCGGTTTCACATTGTTAACATTCAGCATGATTAGACCCAAAGCAGATGCTGTTTGATAGCTTAGCAAACAACCAAAATTTCCTTTGATAACATGAACTTGCGTGGTTGTTGCACCAGTCAAACATTCTAGAGTTGCACGAAATTGTCCCATAACAGGTAGCTGGTTTGTAGCTCCATATGCAAAAATACGTGTTTTGGAACGTTGAAGGGCTATGGGTCACTGTTTTTGCAAGGTGTTGAAAGCAAGTTCATCGATGATGTCGATGGAAGCACCAGTGTCGATAACCATGTTGATAGGGGTGGTGTTGACCGAGATTTGAACCTGTGGAGTTGTTTTGTCTCTACCTGTCGGTTTCAGAGTAAAAATAAATTCATCCTCGCTACTGCTTTCACTGCTGGAGGGTTTGCCATAAATCTTGTGAACTTTGTTTTTGTGGTATTTTTTTGAAGGCCTTCGATTCTCTTGTTGACCGACGCGAGCCTTGCGAGCACTACGACAGACTTTCGCAAAATGGTTTGATTTTCCACAGTTCAGACAAGATTTTCCTTTCGCGGGACAAATATTGTTGTTATGGGGCCAGGGCCCCCCACAATTCCGACACTCTGATGAGGTGTAAAAGTCTTGGCGGTGAAACGATGTATGTTGTTTATCACGATGGTTGTTATGTTTCGTTGTAGGATGGACAGCTTCAACTACTTCGTCAGAAATGTGTGTTGAGTCAAGTGCGTTTTCAATGCCGGTTACCTGCGATTCACTGAGTTCAAAAGCTCTGCCTTTTGCGAGAATCTTGGCTGGCGTAACTTCCGAGCAGGGCCCGCGGAGCGTATTAGAGAGTGGGGGGGCTAAATCATCAATAAAACCCCCAAGGAAAATGTTCAATTTTCTATTACCTTAAACGCTATTTCCTGCATTTTTGGAGGAACTTTAGCAAAAAATCTCCAAGACCATCGTCATAAAAAGTAACAAAATTTAGACCTTTTACAAACTTCTAAGCAATCCTTTTACTGGGCTACTTTATAAACTAAGAGTATCTTAACAATTTTAAGCCCTCCTTAAAAAACTTAACACAACAAAAATAAAAATCTTTATAAACAAACTTTTTGATATTGATTTTGAAACAAACGTAAGCGATAAAATTTGTTGTTTATAAATTGATTTGTTGTTTATAAATTCAAATGTGATCTGTGTGACGCAGGTTATATGTCGCCATACATGCCGACACTTGACGAACACAAGGGGTCGGTGATTGAACAACACATGAAGGAGAGCTATGGGGAAGAAGCGGCGACAATCGAAAGTTCTTTCACGGTTTTGAAGAAGTGTCGAGGGAAGTTTGAGGGTTTGTTGTTTGAAATGCTCTTTATCAGAGACATTATACCATCATTGAACAAGCAGTCGGACTCGATACGTGCTGAGCTGTTTAGTATTACTCAGCAATGTTATATTCTATTTTGTGAATGTGTTAGTTTATTCGTGTCAGGTATTGTAATTTTGGCGCCTTTGAGCGAGTTATTTCAAACTAATTAGCTTGCGTAATATGCAATTATTTGTAAACATCATTTAATTGAACGAAACTGTAAAATTATTAATTTGCATGAAGTTGAAAATGAGGCTATGATGGCTTCGAAACGTTGTTCTTGAATAAAAAAATTATCGTTTACGCTTGTTTCAAAAACCCCCCAAAATCTTCATATTTAACCTAAGGCTTCTTTTTGGCAAATAGCGCATATGTTTGAATGTTGATAACAGTCCGACTCGACGAAGCGACCAAAATTTCGTTTCCTGTTTTCGTTTCGTTCGCAAAACTCATTCGCAATATCAACGAGGCAAAGTCCGTCTGTTCTCTCCTTATGCTCGTTTATCACCGTCAGGTTGTTCAACCGTTCTTGGGACATGGTCGAACGAAGCCATGTTTTTAGCCTTCGAGCGGCGGAAAACGATCTTTCGGCACTCGCGCTTGTTGCTGGGTTAACCTGGATAAGCTTACAGATGGTAATAATATGACTTATCATCTTCTTTTCTGGTTCAGGCAACTCTCTGATTTTTACTAACATGTCGTAAAAACAAACACAATCAGCATCCTTTAAGAGCAATTTAAAAATTTCAAGTTGGGATTTCAATGCCCCAATGTCTAAATCACCACTGTAGTTGTCCTCAAGAAACTGCAACTCTGTGGAGTAGTCTTGATCGTTTAGAACTTTGAGCAAGAAAGATTCCATCTGTTCGTATACGCTAAAACTTGGCTGGTTAAACCGCTGTTCAATAGCATTTATCATGAAGTCAATGCATTCAAAATATATTTGCCTGTAATAATCTTGAGATGTCGTGGGGTATGATGGCATCCCAGTCCCAATCTCAAACCTAGCAGGTGCACGTCTTTTCCTTGGTAATGTTGGCTCTGAAATTGATGGAATGTTTTTGCTTTTTATTAAAATTGCTTCGTAGTATAATATGAAGCTTTCGTCACTCCGTATCTTTTGTAGAACTTCCTTTGTAAGATTGGCAAGCCGTTGTCCACTTGCAGCGCACATCTTGGTACTCTGTAATGTTTTGGACAAGTTGTCAGTGTGGGAAAACAACCATTCACCCAAATTTAGTCCAAAGAAGAAGTCATATGTTTTCATTTGTGCTTGGCACCCGATTATCCGTCCACGTATATCCGCTTGGAGTTTCTCATCTAGGCAAACCATCCATTCTTTAATCTTTAATCTTTAATAAAATTATTTAAACACGGTAGCCTGTTCAGCAGATAATATTTACAGCGCTGGTTTTCAAAGGGCCGTGTGTTTACAACAATAATATAGAAAGGACAAAAAGAATATAACTATTTACAATGAATTGATACGGATGAATTAAGTAATTGCCGTTTAAACGACAAAGTTGAAAGATTGTTATAATTTTCAATAGTTTCACTTGGAAGTTCGTTCCAGGACTTAGCAGCTCTATACGAGAAACTTCGTTTGAGAAAATTTGTCTTAGGTTTGGGTAGGTTCAATTTAATTTGATTGCTTCTTAGATTGTAATTGTCATTTTGACTTACTGAAAACAATTTTTCAAGGTATCGAGGTAATCGACCAGTTAGTACTTTAAATGTCATTATTAACTGTCGTTGTTTTAGAAGTTCTTCTATTGGAAGCCAATTAAGACTATCTAGCGTTTGCATGGAACGAACCTCATATGTGTCCCCTGTTATCACACGCGCTGCTCTCTTCTGCAGTATAAACAATTTATCAATTATCGAACAACATCCATCATTCCAGATTGTTGAACAATAATTGAAATGAGGCCACACTAAGGCATTGTAGATTTTTATCAGACTATCTCTATTGACAAACAATTTTGCTCTTTTCAGCAGGGCGATATTATTTGAAATTGTTTTACATTGCATTTCATTATGTTTATTCCATTTTAACTGGTCGTCAAGGATCATGCCTAGTGACTTTTTTTGGTAAACTCGCTTAATGTTGTTTCCCCCTAATGTTAGTACTGGGCTATTTTCAATTGAAGCTAAGCGACGTCTTGATCCTATTATCATAAATTCACTCTTTTTCATATTTAATGAGAGCTTGTTAGCTGTCAACCACCTATGAACATTTTCAATGTCTTTATTAAGTTTGATCTCAATTTCATATGGACTAAACCCTTCACAAGAAAGGCTTGTGTCATCAGCAAAAAGATTTGCTTTAGTTGTCTCTAAACAGTTAGGAAGATCATTTATGTACAATAGGAATAAAATAGGCCCAAGGTTAGAGCCCTGAGGTATCCCGCATTTATTTGTCTAACAGCTGACATCTTGCTATTCACAGAGCATATTTGGCTTCGACCAGAAACGTATGATTCGAACCATTTCAGGCTAGTTCCTTTAATACCATATAATTCAAGCTTTGATAAAAGAATATGATGGTCGACAGTATCAAAAGCTTTTTTAAGGTCTAGAAATAAAACTCCGCTAAGTAAACCTCTGTCCATATTGAACAACCATTCATTTGTAGAACTAAGCAGTGCAGTTTCAGTAGAATGTTGATGACGGAAGCCAGACTGCTGTTCCACAAGAATGCCATTCAACCTCAAGAATGAACTTAGCTGCAGGTATACCAGTTTTTCGAAAAGTTTAGCTACAGCTGAAATAACAGATATTGGCCTATAATTTTCACAGTCTGCCTTATTTCCTTCTTTAGATATGGGGGTCACCTTTGCTAATTTCCAATCATTAGGGAAAATTGCTCTTTGAAGGGATACATTGAATATGTTCACTAGTGGTCCTGCCACAATGTTAGATGCATCTTTTAGTAACCTTATACTAATACCATCAAGCCCTGGAGATTTCTTAGTTTTAATTTCATTGAGTGCATCTATTGTTTCTTGGAGTGTAATGCTTTTAAAGTTGAATATACTACCATCAAGAGGAGTCACAAAGTTCATTGGATCAGTGCAGTTACCTGTGATCTTGTCAGACAACGTACTGCCAATTGTGGAAAAATATTGATTGAAGGCATCTGCAATTTTATCATCGTCAGTAATAAGTTGGCCATTTATATCTAGTTCTTTAACCTCCGAAGTTTTAGGCTTTTTGTTTAATAATTCGTTAATAGTTCGCCAACTTTCTTTGCTATTTTTAGCATTGCTTAGTTTATCTCTAAAGTATTCTTGTTTAG